TCTTTCTCTCTTTCTCTCATCTCTTTCTCTCTTTCTTTCTTTCTTTTTTCTGAGATAGTGTCTCACTCTGTCACCCAGGCTGCAGTGCAGTGGCATGATCTCACCTAACTTCAGCCTCTGCCTCCCTGGTTCAAGTGATTCTCTTGCCTCAGCTTTGTGAGTAGCTAGGACTACAGGCACACACCACCATGCCCGGCTAATTTTTGTACTTTTTAGCAGAGACGAGGTTTCACCATGTTGGCCAGCTGGTCTCAAACTCCTGAACTCAAGTGATCTGCCTGCCTCGTCCTCCCAAAGTGCTGGAATTACCGGCATGAGCCATCACACCCGGCCATAATTTTTCTTTACAATATTGTGTGTGTGTTTATGTGTATACACTCATTTTCTGAGTGTGTTTTTGTCCAGGCATTGGGAAGGAGGGAATTCAGTCACACTGTAATAAAATGAATGGAGACCGCTAAATGAGAATTTTTGGGGACACTGGGAAAACATCTCAATGGTCAGGCTGATTTCTCCAAAATACGTTTGCTGGTCTTACCAGCTAGGTGCAAAGAGGTCCCTTTGGAAAACTGCATGAAGGAGCTGTCAGGGTAACTGGGTCATGGGGAGGAAAGGATCCCTCACATTCTGCTCCTTATATTGGAAAAAATCTCCCTAAGGCACTGCAGGAGGCAGGGTTCACCTGGGGGAGCAGGAATGCTGAGCTAGGCAATTAGAGAGGACGGTGGCTTCTGTCTAAGCAGATGCCTGGGTTTGGCTTCCTGGCTGAGCTTCTCAAGGTGGTTTTGGTTTTCCTGGTTGTTCCTGCTTGTCCTCCTAGCCTTTGCTGTGTCCTTTGACAGTATGGGGACTGTTCACATTTGAAGCACCTTATAGTGTACCAAGTGCTTCCCTTACCTCACTGAATTTTTGTACAAATCCTGTGAGACAGATATTGTCATCCCATAGAGGCTAGTTGAGTTGCCCAAGGTCATGAAGTAGTTAGTAGAAGAACATTCAAAATTCAAGCACAAACCTTCCAATTCTAAAATTCCATGTTCTTTCAGTGTATATCGGTCAGCCTTTTCTAACATTTCTGCACTTCCTCCTAGAGCATCTTATGGTTGGATTCCAAGACATATGCATTGAGAAGCTTGAGAAGATTTCACATTTGCTTTTCTTTTGCCAGCCAGTGGGAGACTGCCACCGAAGTCACCCTGCCCTCCACAGCCCCACTGTATTTAGGCTGTGTGTTAATGTCAGTACATCTGGGCCTTGGATCCCCTGTGTAGTGGCTGTAAATATCACTAGAATGACTGAAGAGGGAATACATTGCCATTTTTCTGGGCTTCAGAGATATTTTCATTTGCACAATGTAGGTGTCAAACCAGTTGTTAATTAAAGCCTTTCCATCAGTTACCATCTGAGACTTGGGTCCATGGCTGAGCCTTGCCCTATCACTTGTTACCACTGTGGCCTCATCAGTTGAGAGCGGCGATGAGTTTCTCCTGATTTTCTTCCTCCTCCTTCTTCCTTACCAATAACCTGTATTTGGTAGATGTCTGTGGTATGGTTAGGGTGTGTTTGTGTGCACCTGAGAGCTGTAAACCTGGACATTGGGAAAGTTGGGAAGGATGGGGCAGGTAAGTACCTTCACTGAGCCAAATCTGGTGCTAATGCCTCTGTCTGTCTGTTGCAGGGCCCAACATCTGTACCACGCGAGGTGTGAGCTCCTGCCAGCAGTGCCTGGCTGTGAGCCCCATGTGTGCCTGGTGCTCTGATGAGGTAAGGAGCAGATACCAGACCTTGTTTCTTCTCCAGACTAAGCTGCTTTTGTGCACAAACAGACCCATGAAGTTATCACCTCCCTCTTGAATACATGTACCCCTTGTCCCTTCTAAGCAAAACTTTGATGAATTTTTCCCATTGATGGATGGTGAGGAGCTGTCATGGGGATGTTGCTAGGAATACTATCCTGAGTCTACCACATAGCCCCTTGCCCCTGCCAGTTTGGCTGGACCTCCTGTCCTCTCTGTAACCATTGCTGCCCTTTCTCACACTTTGCTTGCTTTTTTTCCTAAGAAAAATAGTTTATTTTTAATTTTTTGGTAGAGACAGGGCCTCACTATGTTGCCCAGGCTGGTCTCGAACTCCTAGACTCAAGAGATCCTCCCACCTTGGCCTCCCAGTGTGCTGAGATTTCATGTGTGAGCCACCATGCCCAGCCCATTGCTTGCATTTCTTGGGGTGGAATATCCCAGGGAAGCAGGTGTCAGGTCTCAAAAGGAGAGGCAGCAAGGGGTATAGGTACAGATGGGGTTGGGAGGGGTGCTGGCTTACTTCTTTTTCCTAGAAGTTAAAAAAGGCAAATAGAAGAGGAATCTTGTGCTTGTGTGTGTGGATGTTTAGTCAGAAGATCTTTTCTCTTCCCTTTTTGACGATTGGGCCTCATGGCTTTACATTTTTCTTTCTCTTCTTCTTTCCTTCCTTCCTTCTCACAGGTGTTGAGGAAAGGAGCCGGGCCCACTTGGTGAGGACGGAAGGGGGACAGGAAAGGGTTAGTTGTGTCTAGGCAGAGGGTTTGTTGTGTCTGGGGCCCTAGGGAATGAGTGTGTCTGAGGGAATGGCTGTGTTTGTGGCTGGGATGGAAATTTGGAGCTGGCAAGAGCTGATGGGGTGGGGGTGGGAGATGAATGTGGTTGGAGAGATTCGGTGATTATAGAGTCTGAGGCTGAGTCACTGGCCCGGCCAGCAGGTGGTTACCTGAGTTCCAGGCCTGGCTGCGGCTCAGCTACCTGAGGCGTCCTCTCTGTCCCACAGCAAGTCCCAGCCCTGTCCAGTTTTATGACCACTCCAATCCAGCCCCTCAGTCTCTCTGCTTCTTTTCCAGATCCACTGAGTTTCCTAAAAAGGCAACCTCCCTGGCCGGCTGGGGGGAGGGGCGGGAGCTGGGAGGCTGTGTTTATCACCGGCCAGGAGGGCTGCCAGAGCAGCAGAGGCCAGCTCCGCACGTTGCTTTGGCCTCTTTGCCGTTCAGCACGGGAACTGCTTCCAGAGGCAGCTGCCCAACATCTGGGCCACACTGACTTCATTTAGCAAATGAAACCTTCCCTGGGGCTAGGATGAGTCCTTCTCCTCCACCCCCGCAGGTTCTCCTCCCCTCTGGGCTGAGCCGGCTGCTCAGTGTGATGTAGCCTGCTCCCTCCTCATCTGCTATGTCCTCCTTCTTCCCATCGTGATATTACTAAAGCTTCTTTTACCAGGAAGTTGCAATTCTGCAACTGAATGCTGGAAGAAGGGAGAGTTGAATGGGGAGGGGGCCTTGGGTAGCCCAAAGCCTTCAGGAACAGAGGAACGTCAGGACAGAAGCCCTAGTGTCACTCAAAGGGTGCTTCCACCTTTTCCTCCTTCCCTCCTTTCCAACCCAAAGTAAGAGAAAATGCAGGCATCTCTGGCTCAGAGAAGCTGGGGAAAAAGAAAACTTACTTGGAGGGTCTGTCCTGCTCCCTATCCCCCGTTTTTCATCCCTCTTGATCTGCATAGGGACTAGCCATGCAGCTGAGGTGGGCTGAGGCCTGAACAGACAAAGCCCTTAGGTCACATAACCAGATTTCAAAGATGCAAATGTAGAATATTTATGGGTGACTGTTGTGCTCCTTGTCCCCTGGCAGGCCTGGGGAGGGCAGAGGGAAAGGTGCAGGGTAGATCAGAGCATGACGTAGGACCAGCCTAGGAATGAGGGGTACAGTCAGCCAGGAAATGGGCGCAGCTAGGACCAAAGAAAACAAATGGAGGGAGGTAGAAAGTCCAGTAAGATATTCCCTGGGAGAATGGCATATAAACATGAAAGGAGGCGGGGCCGAGGTTAGAGAAGGACTACAACTATCCCTGAGCAAGAGGGAGGAGGGAGAGAAGGAAGGGTGGGACAGAATGTGGCGACCAGGGAGGGATGGGAGGTGGGAATCCTGGACTGTAACCTGAACATAAAAGCTATTTTGTTCCTGAGAGGAGCAGGGCTTCCCCTGGATAGGCTAAGTTTAACTGCTGAAAATGCTTTGGACATTGATTTCAAAAAACCAAAGGTGAACTGTCTGGTTCATTTTGTAGGTAATTTGTCAAATAATCAAACCCTGGAGAGCCCTCTGTTCTTCTTCCCCCCCTGAGTTGGCTGTTCCAGGCAAGCTGGCAGTGCCTGGAAAAACAACTGGTTGGGCTTGGCTTTCCCCTTGGTCCTAGAGGACTGGAGCTCTTGGGTGTGTATAGTGAGAGCTTGGCTGGGTAAGAGGAAAACATAGCCAACATGGATGAGCATGGAGTTTTGGGCCCATGTGCATAGGGTGTGTTCTTGGAGGGTTGGATACTGACATGAGCTGGGGTGGTGTGCTCTCTCTGGAGCCGGCTTCAACTTGTGGTCTTAGTCTCAGCAGTGCCATGCTGGAGTCTAGAACCTCCCACACGCATTTGGTATTGAGAATTGCCTGGGGTGCTTGTTAAAAATAAAGGTTCCCAGGATGGACCCTGGGTTTATTACATCAGAATGGGTTGTTATGATAGCAAGTTTGACAAACATTGCTAATTGAAGGGCCACCGGGGTTGGGGTCAAGGTGGATGGAGGTGGAGTTAAGGTTGCCAGATAAATACAGAACATCCAGCCAGGTGCCTGTAGTCTCAGCCACTCAGGAGGCTGGGATGGGAGGATTCTCTGAGCCTACGATTTTGAGGCTGTAGTGCACCATGATCATGTCTGTTTATAGACACTGCACTCTAGGCTGGGTAACATAGGGAGATCCTGTCTCTAAAAAATGAATCTAAAATACAGAACATCCATTTAAATTTGAATGAAACAAAAAATAACTTTTAGTATAAGTATGTCCCAAATATTTGCTAAATTTGGCAACCCTACAGTGGAGGGATATACTAGGAATTCTTATATAAGCCTGAGTACACCCTGGAAGATGGGCCAGCTTCCCACTTAGCCTGATAACCAAGGGTGACAGAGGAAGAAGGGGTTTGAGTCTAGCAAAGTAGAGGGAGACTCTAATAGGATTTCCTTCTCATTTTCTTCTCTGCAACTGCAGGACAAGATATAGGCCATGATTTACATTTCTTTGTAATCACAAACATAATTTTATTCTGACTTGTCTTCTTTCTATTTATTTTTAATCTGGAGGATAAATGTTCATCTTGAGAGTTTTGCTCCAACTTATCATTATAAAAGGAAGTATAATACTAAGAGTGCTCGTCTCCTTGTAAACAATGAAATGTGAATACCAACAACTATAAACAAAAATGCTTCATGTTCCTCCCCTCCTCCTTTCTGCCCTCTTTATTCTTTTCTCTTTACATGTTCAAGTGATTTCTTGTCCTCATGAGATGAGTTAATCAAGACAACAATGGATGGGAGTTGTTTTGGTGGCGCTTGGGGGTAAAAAATGTACTGGGGCATATCGACTCTCCCTGTCCAAGAAAACAGTATGAAATAATAGTAGTTAACTGTAAAAAAGAGTTACCTGCTGGGTGCAGTGTCTCACTCCTGTAATCCCAGCACTTTGGGAGGCCAAGGTGGGCGGATCACTTGAGGTCAGGAGTTTGAAACCAGCCTGACCAACATGGTGAAACCCCGTCTCTACTAAAAATACAAAATTAGCTGGGCGTGGTGGCGTGTGCCCGTAATCCCAGCTACTAGGGAGGCTGAGGCAGGAGAATCACTTGAACCTGGGAGGTGGAGGTTGCAGTGAGCCGAGATCGCGCCATTGCACTACTCCAGCCTGGACAACAAGAGTGAAACTCCATCTCAAAAAAAAAAAAAAAAAAGAGTCACCTTATATTTGCATTTATTTGTTTATACTATATCCTAAAGCAGGGACCCCAATTCCCGGTCCATGGCCTATTAGGAACCAGGCCGCACAGCAGGAGGTCAACAGCAAGGGAGTGAACATTACCGCCTGAGCTCCGCCTTCTGTCAGATCTGCGGTGGCATTAGATTCTCATAGGAGCTCACACCCTACTGTGAACTGCACATGGGAGGGATCTAGGTGGTTCCCTCCTTATGAGAATCAAACTAATGCCTGATGATCTGGGGTGGAACAGTTTCATTCTGAAACCATCCCCACCTCCCTGTCCATGGAAAAATTGTCTTCCATGAAACCAGTCCCTGGTGTCAAAAAGTTGGGGACCTCTGTCCTAATGGATTTCAGTATAGTTAACTTATATTGAGATTTTTCTATTTTGAAAGCATTTCACATTCACAGTCTTCTTTTACTTCCTGACCAACCCTGTGAAATAGGCAGGATAATGACAACTATTCATGTTGTACTTTCCCAGTTTCCAAAATGGAATTAATGGAGAATGGTACTAAGAGCATGTGTCACCCTCCCAGGAGAGGGAGGTAATTCAGCCAGCTTGCAGGGTGCTGGCTGGAACCTCCCACCTCTGTGCTCAGGCCCTTCCCCTGGGTCTTGGCTATTTTTGCCCTTTTTGTGTAACATCCGGTTTCCCTGGGAACTGCAACTTTAATATCCACCCCTCCCCCTTCTAGCTTTCTGCCTGCATAACCTGGTGATATTCCTTCTACCTTCTCAGCCTGGGTTACCAAGAAAGGGAATGTTGCCCAAGTATGTTGAGGTCACTGCCTTGGTGCTCTTCTGGAACAGGGCTCTCGTGGAGAACTTGGCTGACGAGCAGGCCTGTTATATTCCTGACCTCTGATGTCAGCAACCACAGAGGGAGGGAGGGAGGCAGTTTTGTTTTTCAGTGTTTAATTTTTCTAAGGAAACTCATAACAAACCATTAGGACTGTCAGCACATCTTAGCGCTTCAAACCCTTTTCTCATTAGGACGGCCACATTAGAAAATAGGAGTCAGGAAACTCCCGTCTAATGCATTCTCTTGCTCTGCTGATGGAGCCTGAAGATGCATGATGGCCTTGCTGCTCTCATCCCGTTTGCTGGGCTCCCATCCCTGCTGTCTTTTTCAGCATCTGTCTTGGTCCTGGAAAGGATCCGCTCCTCACTGCATTCTGATTTCTCCACTGCCTTTTTGGGAAGGTTTTCTCCCTGGGGCTTTGTGGGCAGCTGGAATCAGAGATAAGATTGGGACCTTTTTTGAGCAAGAAAAAGACTGCTTCCGAGGAGGAAGGGGTAGGAGAGGTGGGCAGGGACAACAGGAGGAGTCTGGGCACAAAACCTGAAGTGCCCAAGCTCTCCCCATGTCATTCCGTCCTCAGCCACAGCTGGGTGCAGGGGAGATTTTCATCTTCCTCAGAGTTGTGGAAGGTCTATGATGTCCCTGTTGGAGTATTTGCCACCAGGAAGGTTAAGTCTCATTCAGTGATTTCCATTGCTGAGGCCAGTTCCCTGCCTGCATACCTGTGAAGCTGAGAGAGAAAGAAAGAAAGAAGCTGCTGGCTTCCGGAAACTCTACTTACTTCTTGCCTGGGCCAGGGTAGTCCTCATGCTGTTGGTGTTGCTCATGTCCCCATCCACGTGGGGAAGGCTTCAGCCCATGAAAGGGGGATCGGACTGGAGAGGGAGAGAGACTTTAAGCATTGGGAAGGGTTTTGGGTTACAGGGTTTTTTGTTTTTGTTTTGAAATGGGGTCTTACACTGTCACCTAGACTGGGGTGCAGTGGTGTGATCTTGGCTCACTGCAACCTCCGCCTCCCTGGCTCAAGTGATCCTCCCACTTCAGCCGCCTGAGTAGCTGAGATTCCAGGTGTGCACTACCATGCCCAGATAATCTTTGTATTTTTAGTAGAGACAAGGTTTTGCCCTGTGGCCCGGGGTGGTCCGGAACTCCTGAGCTCAAGTGATCCACCCGTGTCGGCCTCCCACAGTGCTGGGATTACAGGCATGAGTCACCGCACCCGGCTGGTTACAGGGCTTTTGAGTATGAATGGCTCCTTGTGGCCCAGTCCCTCTCCTGGCATTATGACTGCCAGGTTGTTTGAGGGGGCTGAGGAGGCAGATGTCATCCATCCTTCTCCATCCCTCGTACATGCCCATCTTGCATCCTGTTCTCTACCTGGGGCACTCTCTGTTGTGGCTCCTCCTAGGACCATTCCTTCCACACTTCTGTGCCTTGACTGTCACTCTATACGGAATGTAATGAAGCTTATTTTATGAGGATAATTACAGTCAGACAATCTAGCTGGCCTCTCAGTTCTGCCACTTCCTAGTTCTGCAACTTTGAGCAAATTCCTTAACTTCTCCAAGCCTCAGATTCCTTACCTGTAAGATTGGGTTCCTCATTTGTGAAGTCTCTAAACCTTAGGTTTCTCCCTTATAAAATAATAATAGTTCCAGCATCATGGAACTGTCAGGCAGGCAGATTGCAATAATCCATGTAAAGTGCTCACCACAGTGCGTGACATACAGTAAGTGCTCAATAAATGTCAACACTAATTTTTCTGGGATATTGGTGTGGGTTATCCAGCAGACATTTGGAAGTGCTTATGGGGGATGTGGGTAGGGGTGGAGCTGGGGAGAGCCTGAAGGCCTAGACGTTGTGAAATAGGTCCAGGGAGGGGTTTTCCAGCTTGCTGGCTTGTCCCCTCAACCTGGCAAGGAGGCCTCATAGACATGCACCCACACAGTGTTGGCTAAATTGGCTGAATGTCAGAGCCGGAAGGGACTGAAAACACCATGTCATCTAACTACCTTGTTGAACAGGTGAGGACAGAAAATGATATATCTGAGGTCACGTGACTAGTCACTGGCAGGCCTAGGATTGATCCTGTTTCCTGATTTTCGGTGTTCTTTCCAGTGTGGCCCCCACTCAATACTCAGGTGTAAGCACACAGAGCCCCAGGGGCCTGTGGGTTTTTGGAGGGGTACTCAATTTGTTCTTTGTCCAGGGTGAAGGAGGAAGCTGAAGTGATAGGATGGGCTCTGGTTAGGAGCCTGGCATCATGGTATTTTCCCATGTTCCCAAGTTTGTGGAGTTTATTCATAATTAGCTTATCCAGGAAGTACTTGTCAAGCATCTCATAGTAATAGTTCACATTTGCTGAGCACTTCCTCTGTGCCAGGCGCTGTCCTATGCATTTTATGTAGATTGTCTTATTTAGCCTGTGTGACATGCCTATGAGGGAGGTGCCATAATTACTATTATTTTAAGTAACTTTTATTGTGGGAAAATAACATAGAATTTACCATCTTAACCATTTATTTGTTTTGTTTTGTGAGATCAAGTCTTGCTCTGTCGCCCAGGCTGGAGTGGAGTAGCATGATCTCGGCTTACTGCAACCTCCACCTCCCAGGTTCAAACGATTCTCCTGCCTCAGTCTCCCCAGTAGCTGGGACTACAGGTGCACGCTACCACACCTGGCTAATTTTTGTATTTTCAGTAGAGACGGGGTTTCACTAGGTTGGCCAGGCTGGTTTCGAACTCCTGACCTGAGGTGATCTGCCCACCTTGGCCTCCCAAAGTGCTGGGATTACAGGCATAGGCAACTGGGCCTGGCCCATCTTAACCATTTTTAAGTGTACAGTTCAGTGGCATGAAATACATTCATAATGTCATAAAACCCATCACCACTATCTATCTCCTTAACTCTTTTCATCTTATAAAACTGAAACTCTATACCCATTAAACAGTAATTCTCTATTCCTCCCAGTCCCTGGAAACTGCTATTCTACTTTTTGACTCTATGATTTTGATTACTCTGAAGCACTGAAGGAGGGACTGTTATTATGTTCATGTTACAGCTAAGGAAACTAGGCTTGGAGGAATTAGGTGACTTGCATTAGTAAGCAGTTGTAAGTGCAATGCTGAAATTTACTCCTGTGCTCTTAGCCCTGACTCTCTCCTGCCTCCTTACACTGCCTTTCCCTATCACGTTTGTGGTAAGTCCTAGATTGGATGCTGGGAATTGAGAGGGGCCAAGACACACATAGTCCCGGACTTCATGGATCTCATAGCCTAGCCCATGTCGAACACAGTAGCTTCCAAACTGTTTTGATTCTGACCTACAGAAAGAAACACATTGTACTGGGTATAGTTATTTATTATACGTGTTATTTCCCACTCTCCAACAATATGAGAGTTTCACAAAACAACTTTGACTATTTGTACACTTTGATATTTTCTATTCTATTCTATTGTATTTTATTTAACAAAATGATGGTTGATACCTGCTAAATTGATTTTGGGACCCATAAGTGTGTTACATTCCACAGTTAAAAAAAATGCTGGTCTACCAGGCATCTTACTGGACAGGCTTTCTTTCTAGCTACAACTCCATGAATAGACCTTTCTGATATCTCAATTTCTCTTTCCTTTTTCCTTTTTTTTTTTTTTTTTTGGTAGAGCCAGGGTCTAGCTATGTTGTCCAGGCTGGTCTTGAACTCTTGGCCTCAAGCAGTCCTCATGCCTTGGCCTCCCAAAGTATCAATTTCCCCTTTCTGTACAAGGTCCTAAGGGATTATCCCAGGAAAGTCCAAACCAATTTGTTTATGATCCAAGTATGAGGTAAACTCTTAGCTATTGGGAAGTGATAGGGCCTGCAGGAGGCAGAGAGTCACCACAGCTCTGATTGCTGGACTTCTCTTTGGTCTCCTGTCTTATAGGCCCTGCCTCTGGGCTCACCTCGCTGTGACCTGAAGGAGAATCTGCTGAAGGATAACTGTGCCCCGGAATCCATCGAGTTCCCAGTCAGTGAGGCCCGAGTACTAGAGGACAGGCCCCTCAGCGACAAAGGCTCTGGAGACAGCTCCCAGGTCACTCAAGTCAGTCCCCAGAGGATTGCACTCCGGCTCCGGCCAGGTAGGGATGGGACCCATTGCAAGGAAAGACCTGAGACAGGTGGGCATAGAGCACAAGTTGGAGGTCTGAGGAGGAAGTCTTGGGGAAGTAGCTCAGAATGGAAATGGGGTGGGAAGACAAGGATGAGGGGGAGGTGCGGGCAAGAGAATGGAAGAAAATAAGAGACGTTAGGACTTGAGTCAGAAGATCTGAGTTGAATCTTGACTGTATCATATATTAGCTATTTGACCTCGGACAAGTTACTTAACCCTTCTGACAAAGTAGGTGCTCAAAAAACATTTGTTTCTTCTTTACCCAAGTGCCTGTTTTACCTAGCTTCGAGCTTTGTGTTGAGGTGCAAACGAGATATAGAGTAAGAAAGCAACTTGTAAGCCCTCCTTTCACAGGGGATTGGGACAGGGGAATGGGGGCAGGCACAATAGGTACACAAGACCTTTAGAGGGAGGAAAGGTTAGGCTAAGAGACAGAAATTTTGAAGCATTGATTTTGACTTTCCAACTAAGTCAAGAAGGATTTACCTACTATCAAGGCGTGTGTTGGATGCGATGGGATTCAGAGAAGGGTAGGGTGCAATTTCTGTCTTTTACAGAGTCCGAAGTGTAGTAACTATCAAAACCTCTGTGACTCACAGTGATAGACCCTTGGAACTCACAGGATTGGAAATCCCCTGGGGATTTAGAGAAAGTGGAAAATTTTAGAATGGAAAAGAAGATGTTAAAAATAGGCGGGTCAAGAGATTAGAAGAGTAATAGAATTGCAAAGGAAGAGGAAAAGGGACCAGGGCTTTCTGGTTTGCTTTGATCATGCAATTTCTTAGTCCCAACTGTATCCAAATCTGCTTATTCAATCTTGGAGGGAGAAGAAGATAAAAACTAACATCTTCCTGCCTTCCAGATGATTCGAAGAATTTCTCCATCCAAGTGCGGCAGGTGGAGGATTACCCTGTGGACATCTACTACTTGATGGACCTGTCTTACTCCATGAAGGACGATCTGTGGAGCATCCAGAACCTGGGTACCAAGCTGGCCACCCAGATGCGAAAGCTCACCAGTAACCTGCGGATTGGCTTCGGGGCATTTGTGGACAAGCCTGTGTCACCATACATGTATATCTCCCCACCAGAGGCCCTCGAAAACCCCTGCTATGAGTAAGTCCCTCCTCCAGATGCCAGGACAGCATCTTTTGCCCCAGGAAGGTCCAAGTCCTGGTTTCTATTTCTAGCTCTAGGGTCACTTTGTTGGCTGTCTTCTGGCCAAACTATAGCTCCTCTCTACCTTGGTCTCCCTGTCTGGCAAATGGGCTAGCTTGTGGATCTGGAGGGTTGTGTCAGTAGAACCTAAGGCTGTTTGGAGAACCTAGAAAGAAAATTCATCAGCTTCTTAGTCTTGGTAACAAATAAATAGGAGGCAGGAGAGAATGGAAGGGAAATGAGGTCGAAAGTAGAAAGAAACTTATGGATAAGTAAACTGAGAAATTGTGATTACAGAAGGATTGATTCCATTGTTGGCGTTATTGTCTTCATCAAGGCTGTGCATCCTGCAGGGTACAAACAGAAGAAATGAAGTGCTAAGGAATATAAAAGAGTGGAAATGACATTTGTTGAACACTTTCATAGTCTGTAAATGGATAACTTGTGCCTCTGTTTGAAACTTTGGCTTAAAACTTAATGGCTTACTTACTCAATCGGTGGAGACTGTGCAAATCCATGTATTAGAATAACTTACAATGCTGGTTGCTGAGCCTGAAAAGGTGTGATTTTACTTTTTAGTTTTCAAAGTTATGGCCAGGTGGGGTGGCTCACTTCTGTAATCCCAGCACTTCGGGAGACCAAGGTGGGAGGATCACTTGAGCCTAGGAGTTTGAGTTCAGCCTAGGCAACATAGTGAGACCCCCATCTCTACAAAAATTACAAAAAATTAGCATGTGTGATGGCGCATGTCTGCAGTCCCCGGGACTATAGGGAGGCTGAAGTGTGAGGACTGACTGAGCTTGGGAGGTTGAGGCTGCAGTGAGCCATGATTTTGCCACCGCATACCAACCTGGGCAATGGAGCACAACTGTCTCTAAAAAAAAAAAAAATGTTTTGAAGTTATATGATGTGTCATTCAACCTTCTGTCTGGGTTGTAAGGTTCCCAGGCAAGACATCAGCTATTAATTAAACACACTATTTTGGCTGGGGGCGGAAATGCACCTATCTTGCATGATCTATCAATTTATTGATGGTTCAGGGACCTTAACTTACTGATGGACTTGTGCTTTATTGTTACTTTAGAAAAGTGTTAAGTATAAGGTGATAGTATCAGCAACTCAAGCCTCGCTCTGGTCTAAGTGCTTTGTGTATATGAACTTACTTAAGTCTCACAACTCTTATGGGATATGTGCTATCATGGCCCCACTTTCACAGGCTGACTTGAGAGGCTTGCCAAAGGTGCCATGACTAATAAAGAGGGCAACTGGGATCTAAGCTCAGGGAGTCTTGTTTCCAGCTCAATCTCTTATCCTCTAGGCTAGCTGGATGGGGGTAAGGTTGATGGGGAGCCTCAGGTAATTTGAGGATTTTGGAGTCTGAACTGTCTGGGTAACTGTGGTTGTATGGAACTGGCCTGGGCATACCACTATCTATATTTGTCCCCTCTCTTTCCTCCCAATTCTCATGCTGCCTTTTCCATCAAGGTGTCTGCTTAAATTATCTCCCATCCTTTCCCAGTATGAAGACCACCTGCTTGCCCATGTTTGGCTACAAACACGTGCTGTCGCTAACTGACCAGGTGACCCGCTTCAATGAGGAAGTGAAGAAGCAGAGTGTGTCACGGAACCGAGATGCCCCAGAGGGTGGCTTTGATGCCATCATGCAGGCTACAGTCTGTGATGTGAGTTTGGAGGACTTAGAGTGCCAGGTGTGGTTGGCATAGATCAAAATGGGGAAGGAAGTGACTGAACTCTGGGGATTTCTGGTGTAAAATGAGATGAGAACTAAGCAGAGCTTCCTGCAGTTGTGAGTAGTAAGTTGCTCCTGATATTTAGCCTTGGCTTAGATCCACTCCCTGGCCTGAGCTGACATTTCTTTGAACCTCAGTGGTCTCAGATGTTCCCAGGGGAGAGCATCTTCCCACCTTCAGAGTTACTTCAGAGTTAAAGCTGGGTTAACTTAATCTCAGCAAAGTAGGCAGATGTTCAGATGAGATTTCTTCTAGCCCAGATCAGCTCTGTGGATGCCCATCAGTTTCTAGATGGGCAATGTGACTGTCATTAGAAGAGTTAAGAGGATCTCATTCAGCTGCTTGAACTAATCAGTTATGAGACTGTTTTCTGAAGAGAATGAAACCCCTGAACTGGAAAGTTTCAGCTTCGGTTCCAAGGACTGGGACTGAGACCCTTCTTCAAAACAAGCTGTCCAGCCCTTTAGCCAGGGAGCGCCTTGGGTCTCTGTTCTCTACCTGTGACATGGCTGAATTTGTTTTGTCTCCTCTGCCTTTGTTTTTTTGTTTTCTTTTAACAGGAAAAGATTGGCTGGAGGAATGATGCATCGCACTTGCTGGTGTTTACCACTGATGCCAAGACTCATATAGCACTGGACGGAAGGCTGGCAGGCATTGTCCAGCCCAATGATGGGCAGTGTCATGTTGGTAGTGACAATCATTACTCTGCCTCCACTACCATGGTGAGATCTCTGGCACCACCTATGGTTTCTATTCATGATGGTGAGGGTTGCCCTAGCCCAGGCAGAGTCTGTGTGAATATGAAAATGGCAGCCCCTCCTTCTGGGCAGGGTGCAGGGCTTGGTTTCAGCTTGCCCCTATCCCTTACCAACTGGACACCGTCATCCAGCGTACAACCTACATAACCATTAGAGATATCCCTGATTGTGGTGTTATCACTGCCTTTACTGTCAGCAGCATAGCAACAGCATTATGGGATCCAGAATGGACCCAAAGGATTTTTACAACCCAACTGGAAAGCAGGTCTTCCTTTCCACTTTGATTAGCCCTTTCTTGGAATACCATACTAACTTGTGGTTATTGGAAGAAGATAGAGGAAAAAAAGAGAAAGATTGGCCAGGCATGTGATGGCTCATGCCTGTAATCTCGGCACTTTGGGAGGCTGAGGTGGAAGGATCACTTGAGTCAAGGAGTTTGAAACCAGCTTGGGAAATATAGTGAGACCCTGTCTCTACAAAAAATGCAAAAATTCACTGAGTGTGGTGGCTTGTGCCTGTGGTCCCAGCTACTTGTGGGGCTGAGGCAGAAAGATCTCTTGAGCCCAGTAGTCTGAGGCTGCAGTGAGCTGTGATCTTGCCACCACACTCCCGCCTGAGTTGCAGAGCAAGAACCACCACTGCTTTTTTTTTTGTTTTATTTTGATACAGAGTCTTGCTTTGTTGCCCAGCTGGGGCGCAGTAGTGCAATCTTGGCTCACTGTAGCCTTCACCACCTCAGTCTTCTAAGTAGCTGGGACCACAGGCATGCACTACCATGCCCGGCTAATTTTTGAAAACAGGGTCTTGCTAGGTTGCCCAGGCTGGTCTCGAACTCCTTGGCTTAAGCAGTCTGCCCCCCTAAGCCTCCCAAAGTGCTGGGATTACAGGCGTGAGCCATTGCTCCTAGTGGGGACCCCTTCTCTTAGAGAGAGAGAGAGAAAGAGAGAAAGAGGGGAAAAATCATCAAAGACATGGTGAACAGGTCCTACGAGGAAAGATTAAAAGGCCAGAGTCATTCAGCTTGAAAGAAAGAAGGCTAAAGGATGATTTAGCTTATACATGAGAACACGTCTTATAAGTTGTTTTATATCACCATAGAAGGTTAAACAAGAGGAAAATATTTAAATTGAATCAGGAGAAATTACTATAAACCATAAGAGAAATGTGCTGTAATGCTCTAGGTACCTGGGGCAGGTGTGAACTCTTCATCTCCTAAGGACAATATAGCAACTTCCTTATCTAGGTGGCTTAAAGGTATACCTGTGTAAAGGCAGGAGATTGAGCTGAGGATCTAATGAGCTCCCTGCAAGGTCTAGGATCCCATGGACATGTTCACAATTTACCACCCCACCCACACAGTGTCCTGGAGTTGCTTGGTGTCAGCCATATCCAAGTCAAGCACTACCAGGCAATGAGTCAGCAACCTTTGACACCTAATCTATGCAAGGCACTGGGCCAGGGGCTGAGGGAGGTAACAAGACTATGTATGGTTCTATCCTTACAGAGTTTTTGGTCTAGTTGAGGAGAAAGGATATATATATATTTACAATAACACAAGATGCATGATTAGTGCTAAATGGGTGTGGCAAAGCCAAAGTGGGCTATACGTATCCAAGGGAGGAAAGCTCATCATGAGCTGGGATGACCAAGGAAGTCTCCTGAAGGAGGTGGGGCCTAAGCTGGGCCCTAAGAAAGGAGGAGGATTACCAACAAGAAGGCAACTCCAGGTGGGAGACAGTGGACCAGATCACTGCTGAGTGGAAGAGGGAGAGAGGTGAGTAATATTTGGAAAGAAAGACTGAGACCACACGGTGGAGGATCATGAGGGCCAGGCCAAGGCATCGGTCAGTAGTTCCAAAACAGAGGCCTAACCCAGTGCCTTGTGCAGGGAAGCAGCTCCATTGTATTAGTGCATTAAATTCAAGCAGGAAGAAAGAGGTGCTTAGTTTTGACACCACTGGCCTGCACCTCTTCGTCTATCCCTGGAGTTCACAAGTAGACTTCTGTGCTACTTACGCTTCTTGTCTCACTGTACCCCCCACCCCCCACTTTTTTTTTAGTTTTAGAGACAGAGTCTTGCTCTGCTGCCTGGGCTGGAGTGCAGTGGTGCAATCATAGCTCACTGTAACCTCCAACTCCTGGGCTGAAGCGATCCTCCTGCCTCAGCTTACCCAGTAGCTAGGACTGTAGGCACTTACCACCACATCTGGCAAATTAAATTTTTTTTTTTTTGTAGAGATGGGGTCTTGCTATGTTGCCCAGGCTCTTGTCTCACTTTCAGCATGAAGTGAAAAGGTTTAAGCACCACAACTCTCTGAGCCACAGCCCAAGCAAGATAAGTTCTAAGGTTTAGACCCTAGGGATGTACATGGCACTTCATTAACTTCTACATCCTTCATTTTTCTAGGATTATCCCTCTTTGGGGCTGATGACTGAGAAGCTCTCCCAGAAAAACATCAATTTGATCTTTGCAGTGACTGAAAATGTAGTCAATCTCTATCAGGTGACTGTGACTTCGGGCTTCCTGGAGTGGGCCCTGTGATGGTGGGAGCCCCAGGAAGCCAGCCTGTGCTAGCGTTGGCCATAGTCCCCAACCAGGAAAGACTCGCCCCTAATCCACTGCCCAGGAGCTAAAGATTGCACTCTGGGCCTTTTTCCTGCAACCTTGAACTTACGAGGTGTGTGCTGGTGTTTGTGGTGATGGAGGGGAGGTGGCAAAGGGTGTGAGAGGCTTCCTCTACTTTTGCTCAGGGCTGAAAAACTGCTAGATATATTCCTGGCAGTGACCACTGAAATATCCCATACCTTCCTCCAATCTTCATCTCAGGACTCTCAGTGGGATTTGCGGAGGGCTTTTGGAGACCACCACCTTCCTTCGGTAAGCTCTGGACATCTTTGTCGTCCTTTCTAGAACTATAGTGAGCTCATCCCAGGGACCACAGTCGGGGTTCTGTCCATGGATTCCAGCAATGTCCTCCAGCTCATTGTTGATGCTTATGGGGTAAGTGTCTTGTGCTGGGAATAGTCCTGCGGAGAGTCCACCTCATTTGGCTTACACAGCAGGGCTCAGGTTTGTGAGTCCCAGGTGCCAGTCTACCACACGATCTTACTGCCTTCTCCGTGTGCTCCCAGAGGCCAGGCAGTGGTCTGCTCTAGAAGGGATGCAGCCTTCTGAGAAGGAAGTAGCCCAGAAAGAAAGAAAGAAAGGGGATGGGGATGGGGATGGTGATTAGTTGGAGAAGGAGCAGAGCCCTGGAATTGGGGCAGAGTGAGGGAAAACTGGGCTCCAATAACAGGGAAAAGAGAGAGCTGAGACATGGGGAAGGTGAGGTTGATGAAACATTAGGTAGAAAATGCTGCTTTCCAAGGTGACCAGTACTCCCCTTTCGCAACATCTGTGAGGCCTGTGGGAGGGTGTAGCTGGTACATTTTACCCAGACTCACCTAGACGCAAGTGGAGATGGAAAGAGGGAGCAGGTTCCTGTGCAGGAAACAGAGGAGGAAACAGAGTCCTAGGGGTGCTCCGGCAGCTTCCAGGTCAAACCTTGGCCTCTGGCACTGCTGGCGTAAGTCCAGAGCTACTTGGCAGATTTGGCTTGGGATGGAACTGGCTCTTGCCATTTCCCATTTCCTTTCAGTTCATTTTCTTGTCTTCTTGTGCCCCTTTGTGCTCAGAAAATCCGCTCTAAAGTCGAGCTGGAAGTGCGTGACCTCCCTGAAGAATTGTCTCTATCCTTCAACGCCACCTGCCTCAACAATGAGGTCATCCCCGGCCTCAAGTCTTGTATGGGACTCAAGATTGGAGACACGGTGAGATGGGCTGGGCAGGGCCTTTGTACTGGAGCATCTGTGAGCACCCAACCCCCTTTCTTCCTTTTGTAATGACTAAAAATGGCCCCCTTCCGCCAGAAAAAAATATGGGCAGGAAAAATACCTTTCCTGAAAGTCATTTCAAGTTAGATGTAATGGATCCACCAATCTTTTCCTCTGGGGCTTCTGTTGCGTAAGCTATTTCTGTTACGTGAACTTAACTCTCAGGAATTTAAAAAACTTACAATTTGGTTACCTTTGTTTGTGTATGCACAGTTGATTGCAAAGGAAAATATTTCTTTACTTTCAGTCCCTCACCAGTCTCCAGCTTTCCCAAGGTAATTAATACCTTTCTTTTGTAAAATGACACAGGAAAGTAAAATCTAAAATGTAAAATGACAACATCATCTATAAATATTTATTGAGCACTGACAATGTGTCAGGCATTGTTCTAGTTGCCGAGAATTTAGCAGCAAATGGAACAGGCAAGAGTACCTACCCTCATGGAATTTTTGAAGCCAAATGTTCATTTCACCATTCAGTCCCTCCACGACTTTCCTTATCGGTCATTTCTCCTCTGCTTCTGCCTAAGGAGAGAGGAGTTGGTGGGAGGGGAGGAAGGAGGGGAAGAAAATAGATCTTTGGATGCACTGATCCTTTCTCTTAATGTATCTATCTTTCAGGCACTTGTGCAAACATCCCATGTTAGAAATATTGTCCTGAAACATGCTTTATTGCATAAACTATAAAATGTGTGGAAATTGAAGTAGATCCTGAGCTTATGGTTGACCACTATGTGGGATTGTGTGGTGCAAAACAGTGCTTTGTGCATCTTGCTGATAATTATAATCAGTCCAGCTTGCTTAGCTGGCCAGAGCAGGGTGTTTATATGATCACAGGTTCTGTTCAGTTTCAGCTGGTCTATTTCACACGTGAAGTAAAAAAACAGCCTTTTATTATTTATTGACTGTAGACCATGTCTCTGCATCCAGCTACATATGTCACAATGATACTATTCCCGTGCTTGTGTTTTTGCTTTGCAGACCTTCCACAAAGCCTGAGGAACTCCATATTGCAAAAGCATAAGACACCCAATTTGGGTATTCCTTGGCAGGGCAGGGAACAACTTTTTTTTCCCTCTAGAGCTGGAGTGTTAACTGGGCCCAACTGTGTCTAAATACAATCTTGCTTTCCATCCAGGTGAGCTTCAGCATTGAGGCCAAGGTGCGAGGCTGCCCCCAGGAGAAGGAGAAGTCCTTTACCATCAAGCCCGTGGGCTTCAAGGACAGCCTGATCGTCCAGGTCACCTTTGATTGCGACTGTGCCTGCCAGGCCCAAGCTGAACCTAATAGCCGTCACTGCAACAATGGCAATGGGACCTTTGAGTGTGGGGTGTGCCGTTGTGGGCCTGGCTGGCTGGGATCCCAGTGTGAGTGCTCAGAGGAGGACTATCGCCCTTCCCAGCAGGACGAGTGCAGCCCCCGGGAGGGTCAGCCCGTCTGCAGCCAGCGGGGCGAGTGTCTCTGTGGTCAATGTGTCTGCCACAGCAGTGACTTTGGCAAGATCACGGGCAAGTACTGCGAGTGTGATGACTTCTCCTGTGTCCGCTACAAGGGGGAGATGTGCTCAGGTGAGGAGAACTGCACGGCCCCCTGTCCTGGAACCCACACCCCCTCATACATCTGCAACCCCTGGAAACATAGGCAAAGGCCTGAGATGGGTCTTTGCAGGCAGAGGTGTAACTCAGTGGTTCCCAATCTTTTTGAGTATAAGGACCAATCTACTTTTCAGGTTAAAAAAAAAAGTTACTGATAGATAGCAATTAAATTTTTACTATTTATAGACTTAGAAAACACATGTCAGAATATGTAGGAAGGTTAGTAATAATTTTACATGAGTTTATCTTTGTATCACAAGAGACCTGGAAAATAGTAGTATATATGCAAGGCATTGGAGCGTGCTTGAACAATGTCTGGAAAATGGTGTAATGCTCTTGTTAATGTTAGCACTATTTTGTTATCACTATTACTACTGTTGGTACTACTGTTATTTTTTGGATTCTAGATCTTTGCTATCCAATATGGTAGCCTTTAGACACATGTGGTTATTTAAATTAGCCAAAATCAAAAAATTAAAAATTCAGTTTTTCAGCTGATCAGTGGCCACATGTAGCTAGTGGCTGCTATATTGGACAGCATAGATCTAGAACATTTCAACGTGACAGAAAGTTCTCTTGGCTAGCACTGCCACAGAGAGTCCCTGCCGACAGATTGGGGATTATGATTTTGAGTCCTTCTACTTAGCAGGGTGCTGAGTTGTCATTCTCATTGCAAAATTCAGTAAAATATTGAGGCCCACTGATAATCTCAAACTAGTTTCTCCTTGCCCCAAGAACCACTCCTGGGGTACTTCTCCCGCTAGAAGTTGAACTAACGTTAATGTAGTCTTTATCTGCAGATATGTTGACAACACTCTCAGAGGGCAAATAGTCTGAGTTGTTCCTGGGGCACTGAGGATGGGTTTTTACTGGGCCATAATCACTGTGGCTTAATCCCTCTTGCGACAGCCACTTGCAAGTTGGTTGGGACTGGGTTACGGGTGTATTGTGTGGCCAAACAGAGACATTATAATTGTTTTCTGGGGTGACCCTTGACTCAGATTGGCTTCATTGGCATTGGGTTCTTTTTTTTTGAGAGAGAGTCTTGCTGTACCGCCAGGCTGGAGTGCAGTGGTGCGATCTTGGCTCACTGCAACCTCTGCCTCCCAGTTCAAGCAATTCTCCTGCCTCAGCCTCCCAAGTAGTTGGGACTATAGACGTGCATCACCATGCCCAGCTAATTTTTGTATTTTTAGTAGAGATGAGGTTTCACCACGTTGGCCAGGGTGCTCTCGATTTCTTGACCTCGTGATCCTCCCGCCTGGGCCTCCCAAAGTGCTGGGATTACAGGCATGAGCCACTGTGCCTGGCCGGCATTGGGGTTCTAATGAGTTGAGCTAATATGCAGATACTCACTTTAATACTGATATTAGCCTTTTAAAAAACTCACTTAGAAAGGTCGATCTGTGTCATTCTAAAGCATGACAGTAACATAAAAATGATTGCTTTTTTATTATCTACAACATTGTTTCCTTTACTTATGCTGATAAAATTTTAGAGAGAGTTTGGGAGGAAGTGTTATCAGAATGATTAGGGGAGAGCAAGAGATCAGATACACACAGATGAAAGCACACAAACAACAACCATTTGAATTAGGGGGTGAGGCAGGAGTTTCACTTCATTTTACTATTTAAAGTATTTACATCTAATCAAAGTACCAAAGGAAATGGGTAAGTTTGAAGTGGGAGACCCCTGGGAAGAAGGTTGGGGACTGAGGGAGAGAGGGTGGTCCTAGGAGAGGAGTATGGCTGGACCACGGGGGCACCCCCAGTCCTCCTCCATGGCCTGATGGTTCCTGGTCTGGTGTGAGGCACTGCGGCAGGATCCCAGCCAGAGCATGTTTCTTTTGGCTGCTGCCCCACTAAAGCCACAAAACAAAGCTGACTGGGTCAGAAGCCCTGGTTCCTGCCTCTCACTAGTGCAGGAACAGCTCCTCCTCAGTGCATTCCAGTCTAATCCATGAGGGAACCAGGGCAGCCATTGCAGCCTCCCTCCACCATGTCTTGCTAGGGTATCAGGTACCCACCCAGCCTCAGGTCTAGACTCTGTGGTGCCATCATCACATCCTCCAGTGACAGATACTCAGGGGCGCAAGTCACTGAGCACCTGCTCTGTGCCATCATTTGGTCCATATGAGTGAACAAAGGGTCATGCATGATCCCTGACCTCTCCAGGCTTACAGCCCTGTTCACCATTGCCTTTCTCCAGAGCTGCTGGCTCTATGCTCCATTCTTTGCTACAAGCAGGGGCTCAGGAGGCAGGTGTGCTGTGACTTGGTCATTTCCCTAGCCCCTGGCCTGTAAGCATGGTGGCTGGCTCCCTGGCCATCCCCCTTGTCCCCTCTCTACTTTGGGCCTGGTCTTCATGGTTGCCCATGATCAACATTCCTGCCTCAAACATCAAGATGTGCATCATCCTCAAGGGGGTTTTCCACTGGTCACAACCATAGCCACAGATCAGTCAGGTACCCTGTGTGAGCCAGATTCTGTGCTGTTGTGGAGTAGGATAGAGAGGTGTAAATAAGACAGTTAACCAAGGATAATTCCCAACATGAGGTTGAATCTGACAGATCCCGGAAGTGTGGGGTACTTAGGGAGTGTTATAGGAGTCCACTGGAGCGAGACTGACTGGGGACAGGGGAGGCCTGGGCGGCTTCACGGAGGAGGTGGGATGTCTGACGGATCTCAGAGGAAGGGCAGGCTCAGGACAGAGAGGAGTGGAGCGAGCATCAGCCCAGAAGGCCTAGCTGTAGGGTTCGTGTTCCCAATGACCTTAAGTACCTGTTCCTCCCTCCCTCTTCTGGCTTCCCTCCCTTTCTCTTCTTCCACTCTTAATTTCTTACTTTACTCCTCTGACTTTCCAATGAACCCAGGCTCAGCCTCCCTTTTGCTGGAGGGGCGCCAGTCCTGTGACATTACCACACTGTGGCTTCCATTTAAGGGCTGACCCTACCAAGGCTCTTGGGGTCAGCATGCTGGCTCTGACCTGTCACTTCCACTCCCAGCCTCACTCCCTAGCTGGCCCATCTTGTCAAAGATCACTTTGTTTAGCCTCACAAAGGAAACACTATGGGACAAGAGTTTCTGAGGAGGCGGAGGCCTCTGAGTGCTGCCAGGCTCCTGTGGTGTCGGTCTTTCCCATCCAGGAGCGGTGGCCAAATGCGGGGTGTAGTGAAAGGCTGAGGGGAGGGCGGGGGGGCAGCTCTGCTGGTTGGCGCACTCCTCCCCCAGCTGCCGTGAGGTTGGCCGATAGCAGCTCACAGCTGCCCCTTCTGTGGAGAACTGCCCTCGGCTGACAGGAGCTGCCTTGCCCCTAGATGTTGACCAATGACTGATGGACAAGGGGTTACTCTAAGGCTAGACTCTTTGTCTCAGGGTGGGCCTGGCTTTGTGGTACCATTCACGTAGGATCAGGCTGGAGGGCATCTGGCTGAAACCACATTCCTGCCAGCTCTGCCTCTTGCCCTGTCCTGTTTCGCTCCCTCCTCTCTACTTCCTCAGTGAGTCACTTAAATAAGATCCTCATCCAAACTGTACTTCTAGGGAACCTAGCCTCGGGACACAGCCTTTCCGCTTTCCCCACCCTTCTGGCAGCCCAACATCTCTACTTTCCAGATATACTTGGCAGCTGGGGCAGCTTGGGTGATGTTCCCCATCCTTCCTGGGAAGCAGATATTTCTTTCCATGCCCAGCCCATAGTGCAGTGGCATTATCATGGCTCACTGCAGCCTTGAACTCGGGGCTCAAGTGATCCTTCTGCCTTAGCCTCCCAAGTAGCCAGGACTACAGGCTCTTGCCATCATGCCCGGATAATTTTTAAAAAAATTGTAGAGATGGGATCTCGCTATGTTGCCCTGGCTGGTCTTGAACTCCTGGGCTCAACTGATCAACCTGCCTCGGCCTCCCAAAGTGTTGAGATTATAGGCATGAGCCACCACACTTGGCCTTTGAAGGTTTTTAAGCAGGTGAGTGGCATGATCAAGTTGACTGATACTTTAAAACAGTGGTTCTCAACTGGTGGCAAGGAGCTATTTTGTCTCCCAGGGGACATTTGGCAATGTCTGGTGATATCTTTGATGTTACAACTGGAAAGATGCTACTGATATCTAGTGGGTGGAGCTCAAGGATGCTGCTAAACATCCTAATGTACAGGACAGTCCTCCACCACAAAAAATTATCTGGCCCCAAATATTGAAAAGTACCAAGGTTGAGAAATCACATTTTACAAAGAGAATCCTGGCCACAGAGGAATTGACAATCACCTGGAGAAGGGGAGGTGACTTAATTGTCTGGAGACAGGACCAGGCTGAGGACAGGGCATGGAAATGTCTACAATAAGGCCCATTCACCCTTTGCTTAAATAGTTCAGGACATTTGACTCCTAAAATGTTCCCTCCTTGAAATTTCTCATTGAGATCAAGCCCAGTTACTGGACTTTCCATAACTTCTTTCTTACTACTTTGGTCTCTTTTCTTCCTCCACTGGTCAATTTGAAGAATATTCCATTAAAACTGGCTCCATCTTCTACTGGTTAAGGCCATTTTCTCTGTAAGTTAGAGACATCTTCTGGAAAGACCATATTAGTATAAATAGGGAAAAACATTGCTTATGACACTGCACAGAGGCTAAGCACTTGGGATCTGAAGTCACAGTGACTTCTGTTTGAGTCCTAACCCTGCCATTTACAAGGCATATGGCCTTGGGAAAGTTACTTAACCTCTCTGACCTCAAAGGGTTGTTATCAGAAATGAAAAGGATAACATACTAAAGAACTTGCGGCCGGGTGCGGTGGACCAGCTGGCTGGGCCTGTAATCACAGCTCTTTGGGACGGCAAGGCACATGGGTCACCTGAGGTCAGGAGTTCAAGGCCAGGCTGGTCAACATGGTGAGACCCCATCTCTACTAAAAATACAAAAATTAGCCAGGCATGGTGGTGCATGCCTGTAGTCCTAGCTACTTGGGAGGCTGAGGCAGGAGAATCGCTTGAACACAGGAGGTGGAGGTTACAGTGAGTCAAGATGGCGCCACTGCACTCCAGCCTGGGTAACAGTGAGACTCAAAAAAAAAAAAAAAAAAGAACTTGGCATAAGCCCACAAGACTAGGCAATATAACAAGACTCCTATCTGTACAAAAACAAAAATAATTAGCCAGCTGCGGTGGCACATGCCTGTAGTCCCAGCTACTCAGGAGGCTAAGGTGGGAAGATCACTTGAATCCAGGAGTTTGAAGTTACAGTGAGCAATGATTGCACCACTGCACTGTAGCCTGGGTGATAGGGCGAGACTCTGTCTCAAAAAAAATAAGCAAATAAATAAAAAGAAAAAGAACTTGGCACAGTGCTTGACACACATTAAATGCCTCCTTGGTTGATTTGGAAAATAGATATACATTCTCTTCTCTAAATGCTTTCCAAGTCTGTTCCACTACACTCCCAGATATGATATGATGAGACTCCCAGATATGATATGATGAGGTCAGATTGAGAAGAGAACCAGGACAAGAAAGAAAAGTTGTGTTGGTAAACTTGAACTGTGCCTGTAGCTTTAAATAATTTAATTAATTAAAAAATGTTTAATTGTGGCAAACATTTCTCCAACTGTTGAGTGTAGAGGCAGGAACCAGGACTAGTCAGCAGGGGCATGGGGGAGGCCATCAGGCTACATGAGGTCATTACTAGCGATTGCCTCTACTGCTGTTCACCTTAGGAAAATCTTTCTTTTTTTCATTTAATTTCTCTTATTTTCTGACTTCTTTTCTCTATGGCATTCACGGGATTTGTTTAACTGACTGGCCCTTGGCAGTCTGGGAGGTAGGGGATATTTGTTCTCTCTGCTTACTTGGCTCCGTTGGCCAACTCCATGGGCTCTCAGTGCCGTCCCTCTGCTCCTTGGATGCCCCACCCCATCCACCCATACATTCAGGGTGCTCTGTGTGCACTTTCCCTCTCTGCATGTGGAATAATCCCATGCCCTGGATCTCTCCTTTCCTTCTTTCCTCGTGTTACAATTTTCCTGTCTTGTGCATGCGCCGTCAGAGCCCTGGTCCTCACCCTGCAAGGTGACATCTAGCTGATTTGAGAAACGGCATAATGGAAGTGGTGGCTGCTTTGTTAGTGGGACGGGACCAGCTCTTCCAAACTGGACCCTATGTTGTTGTCTAACCCAACTGGGTGGCCACGATGATGACAATGGTAGGCCTCTTAGATCAGGTAGGAGAGGCGAGCAGCCTTGTGTCAGGTCAAAGGGAGAGAGTTTTGGGGCCTGTGAGGCCTTTTACCAGCATCAGGTCACACCGTCAAGGCTACTGAGTGCCCTGTGTAGGTTCAGGGCTGTGGCTGTGTGCTGTGTCAGCCCTCAGGGCTAGAGAGCTTGCTTCTAGTTCTTAGAAGGAACTAAGTCTCCTAAGCCTGCTACCCTTTCTCTTGCCTTTCTCAGAAGGCAGAGGTATTCAGAAAAGGGCAAGAGAGAGAGCAGGAGGCCCAGGAGACTTAGTTCCTGAGAATCTTTTGCTCTATAGTGACTCCGAGCAAGTCCTGCCATGCCTTGGGACACCTAGAAAACTGAGTTTGTCCCTGCTGGGTAGCCGGGTAGTGAGCCAATTCCCTGCCAACCTGGAGGATCATTATCTGTGTGGTTGGGAGAGCAGGGTGGTTGTGTGCAGCCTGCTGCTATGGGGGCAGAGCTCTCGCCAGCTGGTCCACCTTCCTGGGCTGTGTGTTTTCAGGCCATGGCCAGTGCAGCTGTGGGGACTGCCTGTGTGACTCTGACTGGACCGGCTACTACTGCAACTGCACCACACGTACTGACACCTGCATGTCCAGCAATGGGCTGCTGTGCAGCGGCCGCGGCAAGTGTGAATGTGGCAGCTGTGTCTGTATCCAGCCGGGCTCCTATGGGGACACCTGTGAGAAGTGCCCTACCTGTCCAGATGCCTGCACCTTTAAGAAGTGAGTGTGCAGTTTGGAGAGAGCCGGGAGGCTGGGAGGTAGGAGAGGGTCCCCTGACTAGAATCTCCAGCTCTCCAGGTGTGTTTCTTGCTAACCAGAGCCTTAGGGAGAGGAGTCCACTCCAGCCAGATGGCTACCTCTCCTTTTGCCAAAGGCTTTGGGCAAGTTAGAATAGAACCAACTGAAGGGGCCAAATTTGAACGAGCTGGACTTTGATTGGAGAATGTCCTCTCCTAAGGTGACATCCTGACTCCCTCTGAGTTGGGAGGAAGGCTGAACCAGTCTGAGGAACGATCCAGTGCTGATGTTCTGATTCAGTGGGAGATGTGGGGCTGGAATTATGGAGGACACTGTGAAACTACTACAAACCTCCCACTTTAGTGGCCAGAGGAAGCCCTGTCAGCCCAAGTCCATGGCACTGCCATTCTGCTCACCACTTTCAGTAGGGCCAGATTTACGAGCATGCAACCTGTGCAGCTGTGCAGGGCCCTGTGCCTAGAAGGGCCTCATTCTTGTTTTAATGCTCTGCCATCACTGTCTTGACATTCTTAGTAATCTTTGAACAAGGGAGCTGACATTTTCATTTTGCACTGGGCCCCCAAATGACATGACTGGTTCTGACTTTATAGTTCTCAGAAGTGGCATAGGGTTCACCATCCTGGCACAGCCCTGGATGGGACGGGTTTAATGAAGGACCTGGGAGGCTTCTGGCTGCCAGGTGCTGCCTACGGGTGAGGGGGACACTCCCACCCCTGAACTGCACACTTGCCATTCAGGTCCCCAGGATTGTCTTACAGGCATGTGTCTCTGTGTGTGTGTGTGTGTGTGTGTGTGTGTGTGTGTGTTTTAATGGAGGTGGAGCAGCTTTCTGAATGCATGGAGATCGGAGCTGGACTGGGATACGCTTAGGTTTGCACCTTCTTTGCCTTAATCACTGTGTCCTCTCTCCTTCAGAGAATGCGTAGAGTGTAAGAAGTTTGACCGGGGAGCCCTACATGATGAAAATACCTGCAACCGTTACTGCCGCGATGAGATTGAGTCAGTGAAAGAGCTTAGTAAGTTCAGCACATCTTAGAGTTACACACACCCAGGTTCTAAATGTTTCTAATTCAATCTCAGCACCTCTCCAACTCCCATCTGTAAAATGGAAGCATGACTCCTACCTCAGGGAATGTTGTGCAGGCCTGATGAACAACGGATTCTTGATGTGAGCTGATGTCTCTGAGAGTCGTCCTCCTCTCTTACTAGTGTGTGCAGCCGTCCACCACTTCTACTTCCCAGAGCCCACAGACTCAAAAAGAGCCTGCAAAACAAAGGGAGCAAGTGCTTCCCTAAGGAAGGGAAGAGAATGTATCCCATTTTGCAGACGAAAAAACTGAGGCACAGAGCTGGGAAGTGGTTGCCTGTGATAGTCATCATCTTAGTTCAGTAGGCTAGTAAGCGTTTACCAAGTTTACTTAACTAAAATTGTTATGCAGTGCCCAAGATTTTGCTTAAAGCTTTGCAGGTTTGGAGGGAAACCTTCAACCTTATGGATAGGTAACAAAAAGCTTTATCTGAAGTCCTTCTACCTCTCTGGAGCCCCTTTTGAAATAAGACAGACAGAAATACAAACAATAGGGAGAAAAAAAATCTTGCCTGCAATTATTCTTGAAGTATTCTCTGTACTTCATCTTAACTTAAAAGGAGATGATCTTTGCTGCTGTCGTCACATCTGATATAGTTATGTGGGCCAGTGAGGCACTGGGTAGTACTAGAGAGATGGCAATCTCTCCACAGATAGCAATCTCCCATGAAGGCAGAAACACATTTCAGAGAGAGCCACAGTAAGACACAGCCAGCCAGTCAGCTTCCTGGTGGGGGTGTTATGCAAAAGAGTCAGATCTCTGGGCCTTTTGGCTAATATCAGAAGTAGGGCTGGGGTGAGGTTAGTGATTTGGGGACTGAGTTTGAAGAAACAGTTTTTCCTCTGGAAGAGATTAGGCTTGCTATGATTAGTTCAGAGAGGAGAAGTTGCTGAGATGTTGAGTTATTTTTATCATCTAGTCTAGGTGGGTATTACAAGTTAATTGATAAGTAGTTCTCTACCTACACCTCCCCTCTACCGGTGGTATTATAGTACAGGGAAAAGAGTATGGAAATAAGCATATTAAAATACATGCTTATTTGTGGGGAATTTTATAGCTTGTAAAAGTTATAAAGTATCTTTCATATACATTATCTTATTATTCTGTCAATAGCCTAGTGAAGTAGAACTACAGTACTATTATTATCTTCATTCTGAGTCTCAGGAAAGTTAAGTAACTGGCCCAAGCAAGGGAATGGCAAATTAAGTTAAGAACTAGATCCTGAAATTCATACTCTTTTCCCTGTATTATAATACCACTGGTTTTCTGAAGGGTTGTTGAGTTCAAGTCTGCAGGATGTGCTTTTAGACTCCTGTTCTTGTTCTGCTTCATCACTCATTTGCTGTGTGACCTGAGTACATTTGCTTAATTTCATCATGTGTCAGTTTTATTCATCTGGTTTCATCAGTATGGGGCATAGTGCAGCTGGTGGAAGGTAACCTCTAGTATCATTGGCAGTATAACAGGCTTTAGAATTACAAGAGATGAAGTCTACAAAACATGGTGGGAGTCAGAGAAGAGAGGATAGCTCTGGGGAGGTATACCAGATCAGAAACATAAATGGAAGAAATAGAACAGCTGCATAAGCAGACTATTAAGAATCACTAAGCAAGCAGAGAAAGGAAAGAGAGGGAAGAGTACACCTACTATATGTTAGGCACTGTTTGTGCTGTTTAGTTCACTGACCTTGTGAGGTTGGGATATCATTTTCTTTTTATAGATGAAGAAAGACTTGATGAGGTCAGGTAACTGACCCAAGATCACACAACAGGTAGGGAGTGAAGCCAGGATTTGAATTAAATTGTGTAATACTGTTACATCATGTCCCTTTCAGAGGAAGGATTAGTAACCAAAAAGGGCCTGTGCAGTACAAAATACATCAGTGAGGGTCAGTGAGTGGCAACTGCCAGACACAACAGCTACTTTGAATCTAGGCATTGTGCACATGAGGCACAGGGTTTCCTGTCACGCACTTTCCCAGAAGTCTTGTAATAGGGGTTTGGAGTAGCCCCATCTTCCAGTAGTTGTCTCACTTTTTATTCCTCCATTTTCCCTACTCCCAGAGGACACTGGCAAGGATGCAGTGAATTGTACCTATAAGAATGAGGATGACTGTGTCGTCAGATTCCAGTACTATGAAGACTCTAGTGGAAAGTCCATCCTGTATGTGGTAGAAGAGCCAGGTGAGTGAACCCTGAGGGCTCCTGGCCCTGCCCCAGGAGGGAGAGGGAGAACCATGTTAGGCAGGAATCTCTACTCATCTATGCTCTTAAGCAAAACAGGTTAATCCTGCAAGTAATAAGTTAGGGCCCAGGTGTGGTGGCTCATGCCTGTAATCCCAGCAGTTTGGAAGGCTGAAGTGGGTGGATCACCTGAGGTTAGGAGTTCAAGACCAGCCTGGCCAACATGGTGAAACCCTCTCTCTACTAAAAATACAAAAACATTAGCTGGGCATGGTGGCACATGCCTGTAATTCCGGCTCCTCGGGAGGCTGAGGCAGGAGACTCACTTGCACCCGGGAAGCGGAGGTTGCAGTGAGCTGAGATTGCGCCACTGCACTCCAGCCTGGGCAACAGAGTGAGACTCTGTCTCAAATAAACAAACAAAAAAAACCAAATGATAAGTTAGGGACCGTCATCTGGATGAAGGGTATTTATAAACACAAATATTACCAAGAAAGTGACTTGTTAATTGAGGAGACAAGAAAAGCAGAAAGAGGGTAAGGAGAAGAAGATAGATATGGATCTCATTAATGGACAAAATATATCACTGCATTTTTTTGAGGCAATGATGTCAAGAAATAAAGAATTTAAATTTTAGGACTTTACAGCACATGGCATCTGCACTATTAAAATTGAGATAGTTGCCAAGAGTAACTTGACTGTGCTTCAGAGGAAGACCTGATGGTTAGAGGTATTACCTTTCCAAGTTTACTGCAGGATGGGGTAGGGATGGGTTTCAGATACTAAGGCAAGGTTGCCCTGAACACTGAAAGGACAGTGCCTTCTGGGAGCAGGAGGAATCCATCCCATCATACACAGACCAGCCACAGGTTTGTCACCATCCAATGCTGTCTATTGCTTGCTTCCCTTTAACACCTTTATGGCCTTTGTTCTCCTTAAACAACGTATTAAGATGAATTATTACAAAACACTTTTGAGTATTCACTGCCATAGACCCTTTCCTCCACATTAGGAGAACAGACCCCAGAGCCATAGACCCATGTTTCGTATCTTTTTTTTTTGAGATAGGGTCTCATTTTGTTGCCCAGGTTGGAGTGCAGTGGTGTGACCTTGGCTTACTGTAGTCTCAACGTCTTGGGCTTACACAGTCCTCCCATCCCAGCCTCCCTGGGACTACAGGCATACACTACCACACCTGGCTACTTTTTAAGTTTTATTTTTTGTAGAGACAAAGTCTCACTATGTTGCCCTGGCTAGTCTCAAACTCCAGGGCTCCAGTGATCCCCCTGCCTCAGCCCCCCAAAGTGCTGGGATTACAGGCATTAGCCAATACACAGGGCCAACATTTCCTATGTTGTTGCTCTGGAATTCTAGGCTCTGCCTCCCTGCTTGTCTCCCAACTCCAGTCATTTCCTGTCTTTGAGTAGAATGTTGCAGGTGGGGTCTCAGACAATGGAGGAGATCACTGTCTTTCTCTTCCCCAACTCATGCTCTTGCAGATGCTCTCCTTGAAGGGCTAAGCCACTATAGGGCAGTAAAGACAACACTGCCAAAAGTTTTGGCATTGGCCAAATGGAATTTAACTTCATGGAATGGGCTCTTGAGCTGGGCTCTTATCACTCCCAGATGGGGTTGCCAAATAGAATATACTATGTCCCATGCAATATTTGGTACACACTGATAGTAAAAAATAATCATTTATCTGAGATTCAAATTTGTCTTGGCTTCCTGGTCTTTTCTTTTTTCTTTTCTTTTTTTTTTTTTTTGAGACAGAGTATTGCTCTGTTGCCCAGAGTGGAGTACAGTGGCGTGATCTTGGTTCACCGCAATCTCTGCTTCCCGGGTTCAAGCAATTCTGCTGCCTCAGCCTCCCGAGTAGCTGGGATTACAGGCGCCCACCAACACAACTGACTAACTTTTGTATTTTTAGTAGAGGCAGGGTTTCACCATGTTGGCCAGGCTGGTCTTGAACTCCTGACTTCAAGTGATCTGGCTGCCTTGGTCTCCCGAAGTGCTGGGATTCCAGGTGTGAGCCACCGCACGGGGCCAAGCATCCTGTGTCTTTGTTTGCTGAAACTGCCAACCCTACCCAGACTCCTCTGACCTTGGGTCATTTGCCATTGGTCCCCTGCTGTGGCTGGAAGAGCCCTCCAGAGGTCACCTGATCTTGCCCTCTGCTTCCAGGAAGCCCACCCCAAACTCCTTTCAGGACACATGGTTAACAGATTGTTTTCCTGTGAAGACCTTCTGGCACCCTACCTGTCTTGACCATACTAATGTGCAGAATTAAAGAGATTTTACTTTGATAATTGAAGGTCAGCCCTACCCAAGTCTTCCAAAGAATCCATAATTGTTTTTCCCAGCAGAACTGGGGCCCTTCGTTCCTGGGAACTTGAACACTAGAACCTCACAGCCTCTCTCCAGGCACACATTTGATTATAGACAGGTTGTAATTTGGTGGGTTGGGAGATAGCCAGCTTGGGTTATGGTGGTGGTTGTTTTTGTGTTGTGTGTGGTGAGCATTGGGTATATGTTTGGAGAAGAAGGTGGGAGACAGTGTGGAAAGTGGGTGTGACTTCCTCTCTAGGCTCATTAGTACCCTCATATATAAACACCTGGTTTCATAACACTTGAGGTTACTGGAATAAGATTAGATACCTGACATTTGTGGGAAGCAGAGCTCTGCGGAGTATGCTCAGCCTGACCCCCAGAGGGGTGACATGCCTCTGTTTTAGTTGTTGACTGGGGTTGAACAGGAAGGCAGCTTTCAATAGGGTTATGATTTTAGATGACTAAATATTTTGGGAAAGAACCCAATATATTGTATTGGCTGGCAGGTCCTGGTCTCTAAGAATGCAAAAAATGTCATTAGGTTCACAGCCCTCAGGAATGTAAGTATCTGAACCAGGGTAACAGACACAAATACTTACAGTGGCTAAGGAAGCAAGTAAGTTAGTGAAAACAGCTGGATATAAAAAGATCAGTTACAATGGTAGCTGATATTTACTGAGCACTTATTCTGTGCCAGGCATTGTTCTGAGTTTTTAAGATATATTTAATTTAATTATTCCTCATAACAAGTTTCTTTTAAAGTCAGTGCTATTACTATCTTCATTTTAAAGATGGAGAAACAGGAAACAGACATTCAGAAAGGTTAAGTAATTTTCCAAAGATCATGTATCAAAGTTAAGCGATAAGTCAGGATTCAAACCCAGGGAGTCTGGCTCTAGCGTCCACAGGAGCACAGACACACCAACAAATCACACTGCCTTCCTCTAGGAGAGAGAAGGGAGAGTGGTGGGGATTCTGGTAAACTAGAAAATACGCATTCCAAGTAAAAGGAGCAGCTCCTCCTCAGCTGTAGCTAGCTGCTGCCCTGCAGGAATATAGGTGTCAGTGTTTCTAAATCTTTGGATATCCTTCCTTCCTTCCCTCCCTCCCTCCCTCTCTCCCTCCCTTCCTTCCTTTCTTCCTTCCTCCCTCCCTCCCTCCTTCCTTCTCTTTCTCTCTTTCTCTCTTTCTTTCTTTTGAGATAGGCTCTCCCTCTGTCATCCAGGCTGGAGAGTGGTGGCATGATAATGGCTCACTACGGCCTTGACCTCCCAGGCTCAAATGATCCTCCCACCTTAGCCTCCTGAGTAGCTGGGACTACAGGCATATGCCACGATGCCTGGCTAATTAAAAAAACAATTTTGTAGAGGCAGGGCCTCACTATGTTGCCCAGGCTGATCTTGAACTTCTGGACTCAAGCTATCCTCCTGCCTCGGCCTCCCAAGTGCTGGCATTATAGGCATGAGCCACTGTGCCTGGCCTGGATTTTCTTTTTAAAGAGACTAATATGAAATTTTCGGGGGAGAATCTCCTGATTATTCAATACTGCCAATAAAATCAATTTTTAATTTTTAATTTAATTTAATTTTATTTTTTGAGATTGAATTTTGCTCTGTTACCCAGGCTGGAGTGCAATGGTGTGATCTCGGTTCACTGTAACCTCCACCTCCCAGGTTCAAGTGATTCTTGTGCTTCACCATGCCAGGCTAATTTTTGTAGTTTTCATAGAGACGGGGTTTCACCATGTTGACCAGGCTGGTCTCAAACTCCTGACCTCAGATGCTCTGCCCTCCTTGGCCTCCCAAAGTACTAGGATTACAGGTGTGAGCCACCACACCCAGCTTTTTATTTTTAAATTTTTAAAAAAAACTTTAATTTTAGCTTTAGGGGTACATGTGTGGGTTTGTTCTGTAGATAAATTGTGAGTCATGGGGGTCTGGTGTACCTATTATTTCATCACTCAGGTAATAAGCATAGTGACTCATAGTTTTTTGATTCCCACCCTCCTCCCTGCCTCCACCCTCTAGTAGATCCCAGTGTCTGTTGTTCTCTTCTTTGTGTTTAATTTTTAAAATAAACACTTGGGTGAACCCCCACACAAAGGTGTGGCTGGGTTCCGTCTAGGGGTTACCAGGTCTAGACTTCTGATTTGAGTCACTCAGCACAGATTATTGTTGTCCTAATGATTGTCTCCGTAAAACAATTAATTTTTGAAAACTGTCCTATTTCCTTCAAGGACCTTAATTACTTTGTCAAGAACACCTTATTCATAGCCAGTTCAAGTGATTCTTGCTTCATTCACAACCGCCTGCTCTGTGCTTCTTCCTCACAGAGTGTCCCAAGGGCCCTGACATCCTGGTGGTCCTGCTGTCAGTGATGGGGGCCATTCTGCTCATCGGCCTTGCCACTCTGCTCATCTGGAAGCTCCTCATCACCATCCACGACCGAAAAGAGTTTGCTAAATTTGAGGAAGAACGCGCCAGAGCAAAATGGGACACAGTAAGAGATTGGGCTGGGCTTTTTCTAAAAAGTCATTGGTCTGAGGCCCTTATGTGGAAGCAACAGATGCTTTGGGTGGTCAGGTTCAGCCAGCACCATTGTCTTTCTGTTATCCTCTGTTTTGGAAACGGGGAGAGATGGTCTTACTGTCCCTTTGTCCTTCAGCTTCCTTCAGCCTCTTAGAAATAGTGGCAGGATGTCATTCCACCTCATTCTATTCTTTCTCCTCAATAATATGGTTACTTCCAGGCTGGGCCTGGTGGCTCGTGCCTGGTGGCTTGTGCCTGTAATCCCAGCACTTTGGGAGGCCATAGTGGGCAGATCACTTGAGCTCAGGAGTTCGAGACCAGCCTGGGCAACATGGTGAAACCCCGTCTCTATTAATAATATAAAAATTAGCCGGATGTGGTGGTGCACACCTGTAATCCCAGCTATTCGGGAGGCTGAAGCAGGAGAATTGCTTGAACCATTAGGTGGAGGTCGTAGTGAGCGGAGATCGCACCCTTCTCTGGGTGACAGAGCAGGACTCTGTCTCAAAAAAATAAAATAAAATAAAATAAAATAAAATAAAATAAAAGGTTACTTCCAAATCAGACTTTACTCTTTTATTCTGATTTATTGTATTTTTAGTAGAGACAGGGTTTCACCATGTTGGCCAGGCTGGTCTCGAACTCCTGACCTCATGATCACTTGCCTCAGCCTCCCAAAGTGCTAGGATTCCAGGCGCCTGGCCAAGAATGTGTTTCTTGAAACCACCATTAAGGACTACTAGACCGTATAGGATTTGTTACTTTCTGTTGGAAAATAGTTTGGGAAACCTAGTGAGGGTCTTTTTCCTGATAACATGACAGTTTGTGGATAGTGCTTTCTCTTTCTCTCCTCTTCCCTCCCCTCCTCTCTCCTCCCCTTCCTTTTTCCTTTGCTTCTCTCCCCTTCCCTTCCTCCCCTCCCCTCCTTTTCTTTCCCTTCCCTTCCCTCCTTCCTTCTTTTTTTGAGACAGGGTCTCATTCTGTCATCCATGCTGGAATGCAATGGTGCCATCATGGCTCAGTGCAGCTTCAGTCTCCTGGGCTCAAGTGATCCCCCCACCTTACCCTCCTGAGTAGCCAGGACTATAGGCACACATCACCACAGCCAGCTAACTTTTGTATTTTTTTCCCTTGTAGAGACAGGGTCTCACTCTGTTACCCAGGCTGGTCTCGAACTCCTGGGCTCAAGTGATCTTCCTACTTTGGCCCCTAAAAGTGCTGGGATTATAGGCATAAACCACCATGCCTGGCCATGGTTAGTGCTTGGCCAGATTAGATGAAAACAAATTAATAATTATTTGAGCAAAAGCTTTCCTCTGTGTTCTGAATTCCACCTGCTACATTTCTGTCCTTGTCCACATCTCCCATCACTGTCACAGGGAATGGAAAATAGGAGAAGTGTAAAAGAGAGGGGGACACAGGGTGAAATAGGAGAAGTTCTATCCCTGAATGCTGTGGGATCACTGAAGAGTGATAGGCTGAATTTAGCTCCTTAGAAATAGTGTCAGGGAACAGGTGTGGTGGCTCACGCCTATAATTCCAGCACTTTGGAAGGCTGAGGCAGGTGGATCGCTTGAGCTCAGGAGTTTGAGACCAGCCTGGGCAACATGACGAAACCCCATCTCTACAAAAAAATGTAAAAAGTAGCCAGACATGGTGGTGTGTGCTTGTAGTCCCAGCTACTTGGGAGGCTGAGGTAGGAGGATATCTTAAGTCAGGGGAGGTGGAAGTTTCAGTAAGCCGAGATTGTGCCACTGCACTCCAGCCTGGACAACAAAATGAGACCCTGTCTAAAACAATCATAATAATAATAATAAGAAATGGTGGCAGGATGGCATTCTATCTCATCTCCTCCTGTTATTTCCTATTGATTCCCATGCCAAGAACTAAAGTGGGAGTAAAATGAACATTATTCTGTTTCATCGATGGTGTATTCCAGAGAAGGGTGCCTTGGGAAAACTTCTGAGATGAATTTTAAACATTCAGGGTAGGGAAAGACTGAGGAAGTCACTGTAAGATGCTTTTCTGTTTCCTTCACAGGCCAACAACCCACTGTATAAAGAGGCCACGTCTACCTTCACCAATATCACCTACCGGGGCACTTAATGATAAGCAGTCATCCTCAGATCATTATCAGCCTGTGCCACGATTGCAGGAGTCTCTGCCATCATGTTTACAGAGGACAGTATTTGTGGGGAGGGATTTGGGGCTCAGAGTGGGGTGGGTTGGGAGAATGTCAGTATGTGGAAGTGTGGGTCTGTGTGTGTGTGTGTGTCTGTGTGTTGTGTGTGGGAGTGTGTAATTTAAATTGTGATGTGTCCTGATAAGCCGAGCTCCTTAGCCTTTGTCCCCAGAATGCCTCCTGCAGGGGATTCTTCCTGCTTAGCTTGAGGGTGACTATGGAGCTGAGCAGGTGTTCTTCATTACCTCAGTGAGAAGCCAGCTTTTCTCATCAGGCCATTGTCCCTGAAGAGAAGGGCAGGGCTGAGACCTCTCATTCCAGAGGAAGGGACGCCAAACCTTGGCTCTACCCTGAGTTCATAAGTTTATGGTTCTTGGGCCTGACTCTTAGCAGCTATAGTAGGAACTGCTGTGCTTGGCAGCCCAGGTCATCTGTACCTCTGCCTCCTTTCCCCTCCCTCAGGCTGAAGGAGGAGTCAGGGAGAGCTGAACTATCAGAGCTGCCTGTGCCTTTTGCCATCCCCTCAACCCAGCTATGGTTCTCTCGCAAGGGAAGTCCTTGCAACCTAATTCCTTGACCTGTTGGGAGTGAGGATGTCCGGGCCACTCAGGGTCATTCATGGCCTGGGGGATGTACCAGCGTCTCCCAGTTCATAATCACAACCCTTCAGATTTGCCTTATTGGCAGCTCTACTCTGGAGGTTTGTTTAGAAGAAGTGTGTCACCCTTAGGCCAGCACCATCTCTTTACCTCCTAATTCCACACCCTCACTGCTGTAGACATTTGCTATGAGCTGGGGATGTCTCTCATGACCAAATGCTTTTCCTCAAAGGGAGAGAGTGCTATTGTAGAGCCAGAGGTCTGGCCCTACCCTTCCGGCCTTCTGTCCCTCGTTCATAGCACCTCCACATACCCAGCCCTGTGCCTTGGTGTGCTGTATCCACCCATGGGGCTGATTGTATTTACCTACTACCTCTTGGCTGCCTTGTGAAGGAATTATTCCCATGAGTTGGCTGGGAATAAGTGCCAGGATGGAATGATGGGTCAGTTGTACCAGCATGTGTGGCCTGTTCTTCTATGGGTTGGACAACCTCATTTTAACTCAGTCTTTAATCTGAGAGGCCACAGTGCAATTTTATTTTATTTTTCTCATGATGAGGTTTTCTTAACCTAAAGGAATATGTATATAAACATGCTTGCGTTATGTTTGTAAATTTATATGATGGCAAAGAAGGAGAGCATAGGAAGCCACACAGACTTGGGCAGGGTACAGACACTCCCACTTGGCATCGTTCACAGCAAGTCACTGGCCAGTGGCTGGATCTGTGAGGGGCTCTCTCATGATAGAAGGTTATAGGGATAGATGTATGGACACACTGGACCCTTCCTGAGGAGGAGGGACTGTTCTTTTGTCTCAGAAAAGCAGTGGCTCCATTGGTGTTGACATACATCCAACATTAAAAGCCACCCCCAATCGCCCAAGAGAAAAAGAAAGCCTTATCAACAGTTGTTCCATGAGCAGAAAACAGGAGTTCTGATCTCAGTGTTGCAGCTAAATAATCTTTAACTCTAATTAAGGCAAGTCACTTTCTTCTTCTTAAGGCTGTTTTCTAGTTTGAGAAATGGGTTTTGAGCAGCCAGTCTTGAAGGTCTCTTTCAGTATCAACATTCTAAGATGCTGGGACTTACTGTGGCATCAAATGTGTGGTCAAGATTCTGTGGGATATTGATACTGTGTGTGTTTTCAGTTGGGAGATCTGAGAGACCTGGCTTTGGCAAGAGCAGATGTCATTCCATATCACCATTCTCAATGAAAGTCTCATTCTATCCTCTCTCCAAACCCCTTTTCCAACATTTGTTAATAGTTATGTCTCTCCTGATGTAGCACTTAAGCTTCATTTAGCTATTATTTCTTTCTTCATTTTGCACACATTTGCATCCACATATTAGGGAAGAGGAATCCATAAGCAGCTGAAATATCTATTCTGTATTCTTGTGTTAACATTGAGAATAAGCCTTGGAATTGGATACGGGGCAATGGCTGAGCCTTGTCTCACCCATGGATTACTCCTTACTGTAGGGAATGGGAATGTGGTAGAGGCGTAAATAGGGGACGGGGAGGGATAGTCATGGATCCAAGAAGTCTAGAACCTAATTAGCACCTTCAGCTACTAAGACAGAGTCCATGAGAATGTTAATGGGACATTTTCTTTAGATAACATGTTTTATATGAAGAAATTGTATCAAAGGGGGGAAGGAAATGTATTTAAAGGGTGAATCAAATCAGGAATCTTGCCTGAGCCACTGGAATGAAGTTCACAGGTCTTGAAGACCAGTACTATTTGTCAATATGTGGGGATAACCTGTAGCTGCATTCGTGAGGTAGCAAATAGCAGTTTTGGCCTGTGGGGTGAACAGTTAAACAGTGTTCTGGCATCAGATAACACAGCACAAAGGGATTGTGTCTAGCTCTTTTGGAGAAAATTTATGTCTAGTCTCAGGAGCTGTGGACAATAATGGGAAACTTTGAATATTCCTGACAAGTTGCCGTATTAGGAGTCAGTTCTTTACTTCTCTGATATTCCTAGGTCATCCATGATTTTTTTTTTTTTTTTTTTTT